TCTCTCTCTCTCTCTCTCTCTCTCTCTCTCTCTCTCTCTCTCTCTCCTCTCCTCTCTCTCTCTCTCTCTCTCCTCTCTCTCCTCTCTCTCTCTCTCTTCTCCTCTCCTCTCTCTCTCTCACACACACACACCACACAACACACACACACACACACACACACACACACACACACACACACACACACACACACACACACACACATACATACATACATTCACTCACTCTTAAGTATACTTAAATATACCTAATATGTTTGTATATAGTGAAAGAATAGACGATACTGATTCATAATGACAGACAACTGGAATGCGTTTAATGGGGTTGCGAGTGCCTCAAATACTAGAAACTCAAAATTTAGCCAACAAATGCTGTCTAGAATACATCACACCAAGAGTATAAACATTCTTACTGTAAATAAAATTAACTAAACACATACCTAAACACAAAATTTTTGCACCATTTCTTCTTTACGTGTGATGGTCTGTTTTAATCAAAAAGTTCGAAAAGTGTTTTTGGAAAAAAAAAAAATATGGAAAATAGTTTTTCATTATTATTTTAAAGATAAAAAGTGTATTAATTTTTCAGTAGTTATAGCTAGGCAAATATCACTGGTCAATGATGGTATGAGGCAGGTGAGCTGGGAATCATTAGACCATCTTGTTACTAACTTGTTTATCTGTCTTGTTTTCTTACTAGATGAGCCAGATATTTCCTTAATCTAAGAAAGTTGTTTAGCAGACTAATGGCATGGTTTTCTAGTAATACTCTAAATAGTAACTTAGTTCTAATGGTACTTTTTTTTAAGATTAGTGATGTAACTTTAAGGAGTTTGAGAGTTTTGGTACTCTTGGCGCCTGGCCATGGGCCAGGCTGATGTTTACAAATTCTTTATTGTCATCAGATGGTAAACATCTACATTAATGAAATTTTGATTCATAAAATAAGTTTATTCATTACACGTATGCTGCCTTGTAATTAAGATAAGTAATATTTGATTCAGTATTTTTTTCTCAACACACTGGTCACAGACCGGGCTGTCGGGGTGTTGATCCCCAAAACCCTCTCCAGGTCTCCCACCGAGGCTGGGTAACTCAAAAAGAAAAAAAGTTTTTCTTTTTACATTTAGTAATGTATACAGGAGAAAGTGTTACTAGTACCTCGCTCCAGGCATTTTAGTCACCCCTTACAACATGGATGAGTACCTCACTCCAGGCATTTTAGTCACCCCTTACAACATGGATGAGTACCTCACTCCAGGCATTTTAGTCACCCCTTACAACATGGATGAGTACCTCACTCCAGGCATTTTAGTCACCCCTTACAACATGGATGAGTACCTCACTCCAGGCATTTTAGTCACCCCTTACAACATGGATGAGTACCTCACTCCAGGCATTTTAGTCACCCCTTACAACATGGATGAGTACCTCACTCCAGGCATTTTAGTCACCCCTTACAACATGGATGAGTACCTCACTCCAGGCATTTTAGTCACCCCTTAAAACATGGATGAGTTACTGAGGAAGGATTGTACTCCACTTCCCCATGGAGATGATTCACTAATATCCACCATTAATATTTTTCAAGTGTAGCTTTACCAAGCCTTATTTTACAAAAACTGCTTTAACAAAAGTGAGATATATGCATTATGGAACAAATTCCTTCAACAAATGCTTGATTTTGTCTAGCAAATTTCCGACTTATACATTTTATAGCTGGAGTAACAGTGGCATTTGTTTTTAAATATCTGGCAGCCTATATGAAGGTTACTTGTTATTTTCTTTGGATATAATGTTAGCTTACATTCTACCATATATGGATAATATGCAGAACATGCTAAAAGGGGATGGAAATCTCTAGCTCTAAATCTTTTGCACTCTTGTGCATCATCAGGAGCTATGCAATGTTGCAAGACAGCAACAGATTGGAAGGGAAATTCTCTGAGACAAGTCAGAAGGATCAGTGATACTTCCATTATTTTAAAATTCATCTGTCTGTCTTCCTAAGGTCAATGGGATTGTGTATTTCACTGATATTGGTCATATTTTAAATTAGTATGGCTTGGTGTGTTTAAAATTCTGCTAAAATATGAGATTTTTGACTAAATACTTAGAAGATATGGAAATTCTTTATCAGTGTGTAATTATTCACTATTTAACCCCTAAACCGTCCAAACGTAGATCTACGTTCACTTGAGTAGCACTCCAAATGTAGATCTACGTTTTGTTTTACATTTGAAGGCATGTAAAATAAAACGTAGCTCTACGTTCAGAGCGCTACACAAATGAACGTAGATCTACATTCAGACAGTTTAAGGGTTAACCTGAGGATTGTCTAATTACAGCATTACTAATTAAAGAATTTTACCTAACTTTGAACTCTTTTGAAATGCAGTGCAGCGCTGTATAGCCCTTGTGGTTTAGCGCTTCTTTTTGATTATAATAATAATAATTGAAATGCAGTAAGCTCTCCTATAAACCTTGTGTATATAACGCAGTTGAAAAAGTGGATTCAGAATTGAATATCACGAAGGTCTTGTCACATTCTATTCAGTCTCGTTTACAAAAAAAAAAAAATCGTGGTACGTATATGTATTTCACAAACAACCTGCGCATGAGAGAAACCTATGACATTATTTTTGTCCAACTTAACTAGTTATTAGTGCAGGTTATTTGTATATTGTTCCAGTCACGGTATTGTTCCTTTTTATTCTTTAATCACAATATATAGATAAACTGTATATGAGAGCTTACTGCGGTAGCCCATATGTCCACACCCGGTCCATCAAGGTGGCGCCATTGCAGGGGCCCCTATGGGTTTAGCACTTCCCCCTGAATGCAAAATCCACACCTGACAGTGGGCATTTCATGGGAATGTGTGTCTCCAGTGTTTATTGTGTGTCTTGATCCCTGTCTTCATGGCTAATATTCCTTATTGTGAAGTCTGATAGCAGTTCACTAAAGTCTGATTTGTGGACTGTCTTGTAGAAGAGAGATAGGTGCCGTGCAAGATTTTATTTATATTTTGCTGTGCAGAGGTTTATTTGCAATGAAAGCTTGAGCAACTGACTCACGGGTCCAGTGGATATCTTTATTAATGACAGCGTTTCACTCAGAAGCTTTATTGAGTCAGTTATTATTATTATTATAATAATAAATATTATTGGGATTGTTTAGGGCATTTTTATTGGGAAAGTTTTGGTCCTGGGATTGAATTAGGTCCTGACATCTAGTTACATCTTGGCATCAAATTAGGTCCTGGGGTCAAATTAGGCCCTGGGATAGAATTGGGCCCTGGGATGGAAAAAGGCCCTGGGCTGGAAGTAGGTTCTGGAGTCTAATTAGGTCCTGGAGTCAAATTAGAGGACCGAAACATTTCCAGACAAATTAGAGGACCAAAACATTTCCAGACAAATTAGAGGACCGAAACATTTCCAGACAAATTAGAGGACCGAAACATTTCCAGACAAATTAGAGGACCAAAACATTTCCAGACAAATTAGAGGACCAAAACATTTCCAGACAAATTAGAGGACCGAAACATTTCCAGACAAATTAGAGGACCGAAACATTTCCAGACAAATTAGAGGACCAAAACATTTCCAGACAAATTAGAGGACTGAAACATTTCCAGACAAATTAGAGGACCAAAACATTTCCAGACAAATTAGAGGACCAAAACATTTCCAGACAAATTAGAGGACCAAAACATCTCCAGTAAACATGTCCTTATTATTGCATTTGATATCTTTCTCCACTGCTTGTAAGTATTGTATATAGTAACCCTTAAATATACAATAAATAAAAGACAAAATCCACTGGGTATATTGTACTTTGAACTCATTTATTTTGAATAGTTATTGTATTATAAATTGTGCATAGTACTATATTAGGTATACAGTAGAGTAACATAGTATTTTTTCTGAGATTTTTTGACGTTATTCTGATTTAGTGGACACGAGGAGAGTCCCTCTGTCAGGCCACTATATCATTGATTTACCTTTATATCCTGATAAAGCTTCTGGATGGATAAAACATTGGTGTTAATAATGATATCCACCATATTTAAATGTCATATACAAGTGGTCCTTGACTTACGATAGTTCAACTTACGTTATTTTGACTTTACGATGGTGCAGAAGCAATTATTTTATTAGATGAAACTAGAAGTAATTACCCATCTTGTAATTATGTGTTATCTACTTATGTAATTATATACTTATGTAATTATATGTTATCTACTTATTCAATGACAGTAGTTTATTTACTTATTTAGCATGGCATATTCATATTAGACTTATTTTCGACCTACAATGGGTTCTCTGGGGAGGATAAACCTCCACACTCATAACAGAGTCAGTAAAACGTAAGGAACCAGGTACCGAGACTGGAAAGGAAAAATGTCTGGGTAGGATAAGTGAATATATCCTTTGTAAATTTGATTTTCTTTAATTTGAATCATAGTTATGAGTTCTGCCTTGGTAATATATTTTCAGCAGTCTTTTTATATTCTGGTTATTTAATATGTCTGCTTTTAAATCATATTGAAACGTAACCCCATCGTAAGTCAAGGACCCCCTGTACTCCACCTTTCCGACATTCACATGCTAAAACAGTTTAGTGGAAGCTTGCTCTGCACTTGTGTCTTTTTCTCAATACTGTCGGCATTGTGACTTGTATCCTGTCATTGACTTGTTCTCTTGTTCATTTTGATAGAACGTTATGTAAATTTGTTGGCAGGAAAGTTTACCTTAAGAACTTTTTTTTTTTTATATTTTTGTGCAGTAGCTATGATGTTCCTGTTTTTTATTTCTCTTTCAGGTACAGTATTCAATATGCTGATAATATTTTGTAATTTGAAATAGAATAGCATAACTGTCATTATTACATTAGAGTAAAAATGTTGGTACAGAACAGTTTACTGTATCAAAAATGTGCCTGCAAAATCATGTACAATATTTTAGTTTTAATATATAATAAATATAAATTCTTGATACCAGGTTATGGTGACCAATGTGACATCGCTCTTGAAGACAGTAAAGGCTGTAGAGGACGAACACACACGAGGAACGAGAGCTCTGGAAGCCACTATTGAGGCCATTGCTCAAGAAATTAGGGTAAGTCAAATTGTTTAGGTTTGTCACTTACATACAGGTACTCCTCACTTAATGACCGAGTTCCGTTCCTAAGAGTAGGTTTGCGAGTGAATTAGTCGTTAAGTGAGGAGCATGCTGTACTGGTAGTGGGTATATCTTTAGATATTATTTTAATGTCATCTTTGCCCCGTTTATAAGATTTTTAGTGTATTTTTAAATGTTTATACAGTAGTGGACTGTATATTGTAATAAGCAAAATAGAGGAAATCAGCTCTTATATACATTACCTAGGTCTACATACTGATTGGAGAGCTGGTTGTAAGCCCGAGCGGTCATTAAACAGGTAGGTTGTTAAGTGAGGAGTTCTGTATCTAATTTGCAGTAATGAGAAAAAATAAGGAATAATTTTGTATTGAAATGATACCAGAAATATACCAAGAGGTCTTGTGCTACAATATAATGAATTTTCAGGAAAACCTCACTTTGTATTTATTCTATTAAGGAACATTTCATTAACCCTTAAACGGTCCAAACAAATCGACGTTCAAATTCGTAATGCTCCAACAGTAGATCTACTTTTTTTACACATTTTCAAATATAACAAAAAAAAACGTAGATAAATGTTTTTTTTTACACGTTTTCAAATGTAAAACAGAAAAGAAGATCTACAGTTTTTTACATACTTTCAGTTGTTGAAAAAACGTATATATACGTTTGGACCGTTTAAGGGTTAAAGTACTTGTTTATATAAATCTGCTTTGTTACAGTATAGCGTTTGTGCTCACCTCTGAGTCCACAAATAGTCTTGAAGAATGAGATGCTTTTGTCAGTCCATCAATCTTGATGGACTGACGATGTGTTTAGTCCATCAATCTTGTGACTGGCAGTGTGTTCAGTCCAACAAGACTGAACACTTAGTACTGTTGGACTGAACACTTGGTACTGTTGGACTGAACACTTGGTACTGTTGGACTGAACACTTGGTACTGTTGGACTGAACACTTGGTACTCTTCTGTACCAACATTTTTACTGATGTTAATTCCATTTATTGGTGCGTGATTGTTTTCTATTGTTGTTATTATTTTTTGTAATTTCAGGCCTTTGATTCTGATGAAGCGCCAAAGACCAAAGCAACTCCTGAAGATTTAGTCCGCTGCACCAAACCCATAACCCACGCTACTGCCAAGGCTGTGGGCGCCGGCAACAGTCTCAAACAAGAGGATGTTATTGTAACTGCTAATATGGGCAGGAAAGCCATTTCTGACATGCTCACAACCTGCAAGGTACTTACCTATTACCTCTGACCATGGGTTCAAATCCTGCCCGTGGTATGGTTTCTATTACCTCTGTGTTGTACATTCCACACTGCACAGTGTCAATATTTAAAAAATATTATTTGTAAAATTGCAAAAATTTCAGTGTGGCTCTTTTAAATTTGATTTTTCAAATTGGTTCTTTCATACTAAAAGGTTGGGGACTACTGCTTTAACCCTTTGACTGTTTTGGTCGTATATATACGTCTTACGAGCCAGTGTTTCAGACGTATGTATACTCAATAATTCTAGCGGCTTCAAATCAAGTAGGAGAAATCTGGTAGGCCCACATGTGAGAGAATGGGTCTGTGTGGCCAGTGTGCACTACATAAAAAAAATCCTGGAGCACGCAGTGCATAATGAGAAAAAAAAGACCGTTTTTTTGGATTAAAACGCCAACTTTGAGGTGTATTTTCGTATAGTATTTATCAATGTATTCTCACTTTCATGGTCTTGCGTGATAAAATGGAAGACATATTACAGAAATAGAGATGATTTTGATTAGTTTCATGATGAAAACAACCTTGAAATTGAGCTCAAAGTAGCGGAAGTGTTTGATTTTTACCAATGTTCAGGAGTAAACAAATCACACCACACGTCCAATACACGTCAACTGGAGAGTCTAATATTCTTTCACTAGTGCACTGATATTATTTATATCATTTTTACAATAATGCAGTAGTCTGCATAACAGTAAATTTTGTATTTTTTGTACGAATAAAAAATCAAAATAGAAAGCAATAGTAATATAAGAGGGGCCTAGAGACGTGACTAATGAACAGAGGATATGTTATTTTAGTGCCGAGAATGTCTACAATGTTTATTCTGGACCCTATTTTGAAATTGGCATCTTTTTTAGTTTGCATGAAATTGGCCAAATTGCCAATTTCTGACCACTTATTTGGGTAGCTCAAATCAGTAAATGGGCAGTTTCTTGTACTCAACTGATAGAAAAAATGGAGTTCTAAAGAAATAGCTATGAATCTGGTCAACTGGAACAACGGAACTGGCAAAAAACAGAGCTCAAAGTTGGCAAAATCGCCGATGTGTATGTCGCCGAGACCGCTAACTTCATGGGAGCACAATACTGTGAGTTTTCAACCAAATTTCGTATTTTTGGTGTCATTACCATCCGGAAAAGATTCTCTGTCATTTCATAAGAAAAAATAATTTTTTTTCCCAAAAATTTTGTGATATAGAATGACAGTTTCAGAAAGGGACTGCGGCAGTCAAAGGGTTAAGGGATTACTAAGCCCTACTGTACCTCGTATTCTCCTCATATAACATGTATTTTCTATGTAATATCTAACCATTTACATTTTTTGTTCCCATCTCTTGTACTCACTGTTGTCCAGAATCCATGGTTGATGACCTGTGGATATTTGAGTTCACTCTCAAAACATTTATAAAAATCTACCACAAATAGTTGAAATTGGCAATTTCTAAAGCCATTAACTTCAGTTTACTATATATAGTAGTGTCTGTGTTTCTTGCTTCTAGTAAGTAGTATTGTTTGCACATTCATATTAGTAAATTTTGGGATGATGCTTCTCAAATTTAAGATAATATATATATAAAAATGTGAATGAAAACAGATTTTGTCTTGACGTTTAAGGCTGCAGCTTGGTGCGCTGATACCATTGAACTTCGATCAAAGGTGATGACCGCTGGACATAATTTGGCTGTACAGTACCGAGAGCTACTCCAGATGGTCATGCACCTTCTACACAAGTCAAGCCCAGAAGCTCGCAACGCTCTAAGCACAGTGTCTCGAAAGATCGCCCAGTGTGTCACAGACTTGGTCGCGACAACTGAACCACTAAAGGGTGAGAAAAAGAATTTAAATGAATTTTTTGGTGGCTTGTTGGATGATGTGAATATTTACGGTTTGATTTGGCCTGCCATTTGCTGTTGGCTTTTTTTTACATTAGATAGTCTTTAAAATCACTTCAGTTTGAGAATATCAAGAGTTTAGAAGGAACTGGATTGCTTGCCTGTATAAGGGAAAGAAGTAAACCTTGACTGGTGGATGGGTTATGGGCTCTACAGTTAATCCACATAAAATGACAAGCTTATGAAGCGCTTGTCTCATGCATGATGTTTGCCATTGGTTTAATTGCATGGTTTCTAAAATTGATGAAGAACCTTTGCATTGTTCACAGGGTTTGCATTGTAGTGAACATTAGTCAGCTTAGGAAAAATAGTTACTATGAATTTTACTCAGTCTAATAAGGATGAGATTAAGAAGTGGAAAATGAAAGAAGGATGTCATCCAAATAGTGTTTGATATCATATCTTCCTACATCAAAAAGGTTGAACGTTCAGTTGAGATGCCAATTATTTTAAGGATATTAGAATGCTAATCATGTTAACCATGAAAATTCCATTAAAGGTTGAAACATATTTAAAAATTGTTCATATATTCTGACATGCATAAGAAAGGAGGAACACTGCAGTAGGCCTACTGGCCCATATTTGGCAGGTCTTTCTCAAACCCAAACCCACTTAGGTTCATACAGTGTGTTATATGTCTCTGTAGAGGACAACCTATTCTGAGATTGAGTGATTATTTTTTTATGTTGAATCACCAGCAATATGCTGCTGCAGCTAATATATCACAGCAAGTTTATTTTTTTATTAACACATCACATGACCCAAAAAAAGAAGAAACACTTTCATCATCACTCACTCCATCACTGTTTTGCCAGAGGCACACAGATACTGTACTTTAAAAACTACAACATATCTCCACCCATCCTTCAGAAAGCAGACACTGTACTTCCCATCTCCAGGACTCAAGTAAGGCAAACCAGTTTCCCTGAATCCCTTCATGAATGTTACCTTGCTTACACTCCAACAGCACATCAAGTCAAGCAGTTGTGTTGGTTGTAAATAATCACTTAGTAATAATACAATTACAAACAAACCGTGGAACGGACTCACTTGCCATGGGTTCAATCCCCGCCTGTTCCATGGCTTAATCTTTTAGTTTTTTCTCTCATGCTCGAAAGACATTACTCATCTACTAGGCTGCTTTAGTGGAATCAGTCTGCTTTGTATTTAAATTATCAATCACTCTTCCAAGGTAGTAGGTTGGTACACAGCAACCGCCCACGGAGGTACTACTGTCTTGCCAAGTGAGTGTCAAATGGAAGCCTGTAATTGTTTTATACGATGGTAGGATTGCTGGTGTCTTTTTTTTCTGTCTCACAAACATGCAAGATTTCAGGTACATCTTACTACTTCTACTTATGTCACACAACACATGCATGTACAAGCATGTGTAGTGTGACCTTGTTCTTGTCTTTATTTATTTCCTCTTATCTCCATGGGGAGGTGGAACAGAATTCTTCCTCCATGAGCTATGCTTGTCGTAAGAGGCGACTAAAATGCTGGGAACAAAGGGCTAGTAACCCCTTCTCCTGTATATATTACTGAAGTTAAAAAGGGAAACTTTCGTTTTTCATATTTGGGCCACCCTGCCTTGGTGGGATGCTGTCAGTTTGTTGAAAGAAAAATAATTCACTCTTGTTTAGTATGGCAGATGGGTTATAGTAGATTTTGTGATGTATTTCTCAGTGTCCATAATGCAAGGTATTTATAGTAGCAGAGACATAGAAGGCCGGCTTTTTCGTCCTCTCTAGTGTTTATCACATTAGTTTCCTTTATGTATGTACAGTATATGGTATATCAAAAGCAATGGAGCTTTACAGTACCATGGTATTGAAAGCAGCTGAAGTCCTGAGCAGTCCACTTGCCCAGATTTTTATCAAAATACTAAACACCTATAAAATAATTTATCAGTACCCAAGAGTGGCAGACAGATGTTAAACTGTAGAATGATATTCCTGATAAATATCTCATGTAAAGTGATAAAGAAAATAAAAAATGTAACACCTGGAGACAATGGGCTTTTTCAAAGGATATGAGGAAATTAATGGTAATCAGACAAGAACATGGTGGACTGATTGCAATTTCCTAGAAATTAAGTCTGATGGCACAGACTTAAGTTACAGGTATGGTGCTAGCAAAGATCACAATACAGTAGACTCTCTTTATTCACTACATATTTAATTAAGGTTTAATCTTTCGAGGAAAGTAACTGCAAGTATTTTATCCCAGTAACGTCACTGCTGTTATACAGTGGACCCCCGCATAACGATCACCTCCCAATGCGACCAATTATGTAAGTGTATTTATGTAAGTGCCTTTGTACGTGTATGTTTGGGGGTCTGAAATGGACTAATGTACTTCACAATATTCCTTATGGGAACAAATTCGGTCAGTACTGGCACCTGAACATACTTCTGGAATGAAAAAATATCGTTAACCGGGGGTCCACTGTATACCGTAATCAGTAATTAGCAAATTGGTCTGCGGGAACTTCAGGCACTGTTGATATTCGGTATAATGCTATCCTTTATTGGCTATGTTGTGCCCACACAGTTGGCTTTATCAAGTCACGAACTTTATCAAGTTTATGACTTGATAAAGTCCACTGTGTGGGCACAACAGTCAATAAAGGATCGCATTACACTGCATTTGTGTTTATTTTTCCATCGTGTTAGTATTTTACATGTTTTATTTCCATTCTGTGAAGTGAATGTGGTAACTGCAGAGCATAGAATATTGTTGGCATCACATCATGTAGTCTTGTAAGTTTTTAGTTGCTCTGTAACATGGCTATAATTATTGAAGTTCTGTAACATGGCTATAATTATTGGAGCTCTGTAACATGGCTATAATTATTGAAGTTCTGTAACATGGCTATAATTATTGAAGCTCTGTAACATGGCTATAATTATTGAAGTTCAGTAACATGGCTATAATTATTGAAGCTCGGTAACATGGCTATAATTATTGAAGTTCAGTAACATGGCTATAATTATTGAAGTTCAGTAGCATGGCTATAATTATTGAAGCTCAGTAACATGGCTATAATTATTGAAGCTGAGTAACATGGCTTTAGTACATATTTGTAAATACATAGTGTAAACTATATAGTGGTGGTAGTAGCGCAATGAACTCTGGTTAGTATTATCACAACAATGGTAAACAGAACTGACATGTAGGTGAGAGAGATGCTTGTGCAACACTTGGGTGTCATTGTTGCAGAGATGTCTTGGTAACCAGTGGCTTTATCAGTCCAGTACTGTGAATAATTATGGGAGACGGTGGAAAACAAAAAGGTAGCTTGAGGTGATCAGTCCCTCAATCTTGGTAGGTGTTTGGCCCCTCAGCTTGATAAAACTGTTATCAAGACTGAGGGACTGATCACCATCAATTATTTCTTTACTCCTTCCATTACCTTCAGGTGTTATTCACTGTATTGGACTGATGAAGACACTGGTTGATGAAATGCCTCCAAAGTGAAGACACCCATATACAGTGGACCCCCGGTTAACGATATTTTTTCACTCCAGAAGTATGTTCAGGTGCCAGTACTGACCAAATTTGTTCCCATAAGGAATATTGTGAAGTAGATTAGTCCATTTCAGACCCCCAAACATACACGTACAAACGCACTTACATAAATACACTTACATAAATGGTCGCATTCGGAGGTGATCGTTATGCGGGGGTCCACTGTATTGCACGCATGTCTTTCTTATCAACACATTAACCTACAGAGAGACAGAATAAAAAATAGGTTTAAGAGACAACTCCATATTTTAACCTCCAGTTGTGGCCCTCTTCAGCAGATCTCAGTTGGAGACCAAAATATACAGAACTAAGTTACTTAACTCTCTTTAATTTTGTCTCCATGTAAGTTTGTGTTAATGTTTATTTTAGGTTTTCCGGGTAAATGGGAATAATCCCACTTTAGCCTAAAATTAAGTATACGTTTTTAGCCCTTAAACTGTCCAAACGTAGATCTACGTTCACATGCGTAGCACTCCAAATGTAGATCTACGTTCACATGCGTAGCACTCCAAACGTAGATCTACGTTCACATGCGTAGCACTCCAAACGTAGATCTACGTTCACATGCGTAGCACTCCAAACGTAGATCTACGTTTTTTTTTATGTTTGAAAGCATGTAAAATAAAATGTAAATCTACGTTCGGAGCGCTATGCACGTGAACAGAGATCTACGTCTGGACAGTTTAAGGTAAAAGTAGAATGCATGATTCAGGTAATATACGTCAAATGCTGCCAAGTTCGGCAACTTTGATAAATGAAACAATTTTTAAAACTTGATGGAATTTTCAAATGGTAAAAATTACAGTATTCTTTTTTTTAATACATTTATTATCATGGAATATTCAGCTTTGATATGTAAGTTTTAATGAAGTATTGTGTATGGTACATCTGTTGTAATACATCTTTCTATTTTGTTAATTTTGGTTTCAAATATAGTATAGTTTAAGTGTTGGTTTTCATAGTTTCAGCACTTGAGGATCCAAGAAAATAACATTAAAGAATATTTTTCACATACCTTTTTTGTTTTCAAAATAACTGGAAGCATGAACTGCTGGACATCCATCACATTTTCCCCATCTTTATGCCCTCCCACAAACACATCTGACTGTATCCCCCCACAGCCCACTTCAAATGGCACGAGGCAGGCGTGAGTCCACCCAGTGGTGAGTCGAGCACATTTGTAGCCATGACATTTTATCATTTGTAGACTGGCACTGTGCATGTTCAACTCCCATATCTTCCGAAGTCACCTTCTCCAAACAACAGTTTTCCTAAATCCAGATCTTGTGATAATATTTAATTGTACAGAATAGATCAAGTTGTCCATGAAGACACTTTAATGTTTGATATATGAAAAAGGTCTCCATGTGGAAGTGGAGAAGAATCCTTTCCCCATAAGCCATGCGTGTCGTAAGAGGCGACTAAAATGCCAGGAGCAAGGCGCTAGTAACCCCCTTCTCCTGTATACATTACTAAATGTAAAAAGGAGAAAAAAATTTGTTTTTCTTTTTAGGTCACCCTGCCTTGGTGGGAGACGGCCAGTATGTTAAAAAATTGTAAAAAGATGGATATAATTTCACAAGATCTTGGTTTTTACATGCAACCTTGCAGTTATTCATTTCTTTGGAATGACAACTCAGGTATATATAATTGCTTGAACACATCTACTTTTTACGTCTGACTTTTCTTTCCAGCTTTTGTACCATATATGGTAAGCACCTCCTGGCTACAGTGTAAGAAAGTTGACTTATCTCTTTCAGCTTGGTAGAGGGTTGAACGCTGTTGCTTACTTGAATAAGTCATCAAGTTTGAACCAAAACATATTTCTCTGTGAATTATTTTTTTTTTTTTTTGTAAATAGGCAACTGAATCTTACTGAACCTTAATTTAAGATTTAATAATGATGATTTCACTTCATACTTTTATTCTAGGCATGAAAACTGAAGGTATGAAGAGCCTTGTCTATACCTGCTGTCTGGTGCTCAGTGTTTCTTACCTTCTTTGTTGATGTAAAATGTTCATTCTTCGGTTTAGTCTGTGTGAATTACACTTAGTGATACAGTGGTACCCCGAGTTTTGGCCATAATTCGTTCCAGAAGGCTGTTCGAGTGCCGTTACCGAACGAATTTGTTCCCATAAGGAATAACATAAATTAGATTAGTCAATTTCAGACCCCCAAAAATACACTTACAAAAGCACTTACAAAAATACACTTACAAAAGCACTTACAAAAATACACTTACAAAAGCACTTACAAAAATACACTTACATAATTGTTTGAGTTGGGAGCTATTCGAAACTCAGGGTACCACTATATATTCTTCCAAACATCTGGCATGACAAAAATCTAATATTTATTATTTTGAGAATGATTCCTTTTTCTTCGAGTAGTAGAATCTTCCTCTAACATTCGAACCAAATATTAATCTTTTTTTGCAGCTTCGTAGGGTAGAGCTTCTGCTCTCGCTTCAGTAGAATTTTGTATATTTAGTTTTATATTACTGAACCTGTGAAGGAATCGGTATATAAAAAAATATACACATACAAATTGTGTGCTTTCATAAAGACCTTTATATATGTACACAGATAATGTGCACATACGAAAGAGAAACTTAGGACAACGTTTCAGTCCGTGTTGGACTGAAACATCATGGTAAGTTTCTCTCTCCTATGTGCGGGTTATTTGTGTATTGTTCCAGTCACGGTATCATGCCTTTTTGACCTTTAGATGTATTTGTAATTTCAAGCTGTTTATTGTAGTTATGTCCTTTTACGAAGATCATTTTTTTAGCACTATTAAGGTACTGAATCACTATTTTTATATGTATTTAATTTTTTTTTTGTATTCAACAACCCATTTTTGGATAATTCAGTACACAAAAGTTCATCAAGATCTTTGCTTCATATCTGAGGTACAGTGGAACCTCAGTGTTTAAACTTAATTGTTTCCTAGGTGGTGTTGGAACTGAAAAAAGTTCGATGTGGGAAACAATATTTCCCAGGCTTTAATTATCAGCCTCACTCACTGGAGGATATTGAACTGGCTCTTCCGAAACTCTCTGAGAGTCAGGTCAGTGTCAGAGATCACTTCAAAGCACTTTTGAAACAGGGCTTTGAAGTGACAACTGACTCTTCTGAAACTCTCCGAGAGTCAGGGCGGTGTCAGAGGTTACTTCAAAACACTTTTGAAACAGGGCTTTCCCGTAAAGTTTTCTCACAACTGAATTTTTAACAAGCCGGCATGTTCAGACCCCAGAAAAACGTTTAAAGACCGGCTTAATTTTTTCTAAACAAAACTGTTCGGACTCTGGTTCGATCAAAGTTCGGTACGTTCCAATACCGAGGTTCCACTGTATTTATAAACAGTATTGGTATGGTATGCTATTTTTTTTTGGTTGAGGGTATGGAAGGGTCAGTGTAATTTTACTCAGTGTCTGGAGATATCACTTCAGAGTTGCTATTGTCCATCAGATTCTTGTAATATATTTCAGTAGCAAGCAATGCCCTGGGTAATCTCAATTGCTTAAGAAATTGTTTTGCTTCAACGGAATTTAGGATCTTTCAGTATTTGTAGAACAATTTAAAAAAAGCTTTGGATAAACTGGTTTGGTTCTCACATAGACTGACTTGGGGATCATACAGTATTCTGTATGAAGTTAGATTGACCTGGGGATCATACAGTGTATAAAGTTAGATTGACCTGAGGATCATACAGTATCTGTATAAAGTTAAGATTGACCTGAGGATCATAGTGTCCTGTATAAAGTTAAATTTACCTGGGGATCATAGTTTCATGGACAAATTCAGATTGACCTGGGGATCATACAGTCTCCTTACCTGTATGAAGTTAGATTTATCTGCCCACCAGTTTTAGAAGTTGGTGAGGTATTGCACATAAAATAATTGTGTTAACATTAATTTAAAGATATTAGCTTAATCTGAAAGTAGATCTAAATATATAGAATTGAATACTATATATCTTCAATTCAGTTTTTATTGATTTTGATCTTCTTATATTTTACTGAATTAAAAATTAAAAAATAATTGTATTAAAGACTGTAGTAAGTTAGTAATTTACATTATGTATGATCTAAATTTAATCTATTAAATAGGCTTATAGAGTTAGTCAAAAGTTGTAATACTTGTAATGTTAGATAACAGATTATGGATATTCATTCAGGATTGGTCGCCCTCAGAAGCTGACACAACTCAACTGGTTTATTATATGTATTCACGAGAAAGTGCTCGATCTGAATGAGTTTGCTATAGTTTTCTGGCATTTTGTGATGTATTGAAGACACTGCAGTATCTTGTTTTATTTATATATATATATATATATATATATATATATATATATATATATATATATATATATATATATATATATATATATATACAGTGGACCCCCGCATAGCGAACTTAATCCGTGCAAGAGGGCTGGTCGTTATGCGAAATGTTCGCTATGCGCATTAATTTTCCCCATAAGAAATAATGGAAATAAAATTAATCCGTGCAAGACACCCAAAAGTATGAAAAAAAAATTTTTTTACCACAAAAAAATGTTAATTTTAGTACACACAAACTGAAAAAGGCATGCACAATTACATGACACTTACTTTTATTGAAGATCTGGTGATGATTGATGGGATGGGAGGAGGGGAGAGAGAGTGTTAGTGTTTAGAAGGGAAATCCCCTTCCATTAACACTTGAGGAGGCAAGTCCTTTTCCGGGGTTACTTCCCTTCTTCTTTTAATGCCACTAGGACCAGCTTCAGAGTCACTGGACTTCTTTCTGTCCATAGAGCTCTGTACCTCCCGTTCCTTTACGATTTGTCTAAAATGGGCCATAACATTGTCATTGAAATAGTCACCAGCACGCCTTGCAACAGCTGTGTCAGGGTGATTTTCATCCATAAAGGTTTGCAGTTCAACCCACTGTGCACACATTTCCTTAATTTTTGAAGTAGGCACAATGGATTCCACAACTGGCATAGGCTTCTCAGGGTTAGCCCCAAACCCTTCAAAATCTTTCTTAATTTCCATACTAATTCTCACCCTTTTTACCACAGGGTTGGCACTAGAAGCTTTCTTGGGGCCCATGGTCACTTATTTTCAACAAACAGAACCGAAAACACTGTAATAATACGAAATATTCCGAGTGTATGCTTGAATGTTACCGCGGAGGCTAGCTGGTAAACAATGGGACAGGCGGCACATGTGAGGCTGGCTGAGGCCGCACATTGGACGCGTCTCGGACGAAGTTCGCTGAGCGGGTTTTTGTCTACTATGCGGGGCAAAATTTTAGCGATCAAAGCGTTCGCTATGCGGAATGTTCGCTATGCAAGGCGTTCGCTATGCGGGGGTCCACTGTATATATATATATATATATATATATATATAATATCACAGGTACTGTTTGCAGTAGCTTTTTCGTTATATATGGGAGATACTGTTTGCAATAGGTCTTTTGATGCGTCGGAAATACCGTTTCCAGTATCTTTTTTTAATATAGCAGACACCGTTTGCAGTAGAATATTTTTTTATATATCCAAAATGCCATTTGCAGTAGCATTTTAACTTCTAAGCATCATAATTGTAAGGAATGTTGAGAAGGCAATGCACACCATATTTAAAAAAATATTGTAGTTGATAACACTACAGTGGTACTTCAAGTTTGGAACAGCTCCCAACTCGAACAATTATGTAAGTGTATTTTTGTAAGTGCTTTTGTAAGTGTATTTTTGGGGGTCTAAAACAGACTAATCTAATTGACGTTATTCTTCATGGGAACAAATTCTTTCGGTATCGGCACTCGAACAGCCTTCTGGAACAAATAAAGTTGGTAACTTGAGGTACCACTGTAATATAGTGAGAGCTTTTCTTAACCCTTTGACTGTCGCAACCCCCAATCCTGAGGTGTCTCCTGGTGTCGCAAAATTTCAAAAAAAAAAAAAAATTATTTTTTCCTGTGAAATGATAGAGAATCTTTTCCCGGTTGTAATGACACCAAAAAAAACGAAATTTGATGGAAAACTGACGGAATTATGCTCTCGCAAAGTTAGCGACCTCAGCGCTGTTTACAAATCGGCGATTTCGCCCACTTTGAGCCCTATTTTCAGCTAATTCCATTATTCCAGTCGCCCAAACTCATAGCTATTTCTTTAGAACTCTATTTTTTCTATCGATTGAGTACAAGAAACTGCCCATTTACCGATTTCAACTACCTAATAATGTGGTCAGAAATTTGCAATTTGGCCAATTTCACGAAAACTAAAAAATATGACAATTTCAAAATAAGGTCCAGAATGAACAATGCAGACATTCCTGGCTCTAAAATAACATTTTCTTTGCTCATGAGTCATGTCTCCAGGCCCCTCTAATATTACTCTTGCTTTCTATTTTGAATGTTTATTCATACAAAAAATAGAAAGAAGACTTACTATTATGCAGACTACTGCAATACTGTAATAATTGTATAAATAACATCAACCCATTCATGACTGCATATTAGAATGGCTAGTTGGACATTTATTGGACAATGGCATCATTTGTTTACTTTTGAACATTGGCAAAAATCAAACATTTCCCCAACTTTGAGCTCCATTTCTAGGTTCTTTTTATAGTAAAATCAATCAAAATCACCTCTATTTCTATAATATGTTTTCCATTCTATCAAATGAGACCAAGAAAACGAGAATGCAACAATAAATACTATACGAAAATAGACCACAAAGTCGGCGTTTTAATTAAAAAAAACGGTCGGAGTGTTTTTTTTTCTCATTATGCACTGCGTGCTCCAGGATTTTTTTTATATGGTGCACACTGACCACACAGACCCATTCTCTCACATGTGGGCCTACCAGCTTTCTCCTGCTTGATTTGAAGCCGCTAGAATTTATGAGTATATATACGTCAAACACTGTACCTCGTAAGACGTATATATACGGCCGCGACAGTCAAAGGGTTAATAATAGCTGTCAAAATTTCTCTTTTGGAAATATTCTTTCAGTTGACTGTATTATCTCTTGCAAGATCATATTTTCCTCTTATATATAAATGTCAGGAAATATATTTTAATTTTAAAATATATTCATTAGATTTTTATTATGTATATAGTGTGATGTAAAATAATAATGAATGTTAAAGTGTAGGTGATGTATATTTCAAGAAAATGAATACATTATGTATACCAGGATCATTTCTTAATCTAAATAATGTATATCATGTATACCAACTTCATATATATTAATCTTAATAATGTATATCTCGCATTTCTATTTTTTAACACACTGCTAAATGTTGTTATATAAATAGATTGCAGGTATGAAAGAAGTACAACATTTCCTTCAAAATACATGTATAGCAATTGGATAATTCGCGATCATGAATGTTTATATTTCTCACACTGCTCCACAAATTTAGGTCACGATTTGGAAGATCCCGATGACCCGACAGTCATTGCTGAGAACGAGCTGATCAGTGCTGCTAACTCGATCGATGCCGCAGCTCGTAAGCTGATGGTGCTGCGCCCTCGCCGAGCTGAAACAAAGGTACCTTCTTAATTATACTATTTAAGAGATACATTATTTAATTTGTATTTATTACTAAATTTGTGTTTGTTGTAGGAATTGTGCAATACATGAGTACTGTATATACAGTAGGCATCATAAATTTGTACACCCATAAGTATGCCTTTAGCAGAATATTTGGCTGACTTACTCAAAACATGCCAGGGTAACTTTTGTATGGAAGACAGTGCCCTTTGCCATATTGCCAAAAACATAATGAATTGGTTAAATTACAGTTCGATGACTCGGACTTACGATGGGCTCTCTGACCAGTATGTATACCTAAATAATGTATATTAGAGCTGATTTCCTTTATTCTGTTTATTACAATATACAGTACACTGCTGTATAAACATTTAAAAATATACCAGAAATGTGATAAATGGTGCAAAGGTGACATTAAATCAATATCAAAGATGATTGACACAAACCCACTACCATTATAGTATGCTCCTTGCTTAGTGACGAATTTGTTTACCGATGTGGTCTTAGAAATGGAACCCCGTCATTAAGTGAGGAGAGGCTGTACAGGCCGGCCATCACTAATCCGGCAGTCAGTTATCCGGTTCCATCAGTAATCCGGCACTAATTTCGGCTAGCATAATTTCAAATTTCATCATTATACTGACTCAGAAATTGTGCAGATGGTTGTAAATCCACGGCAGCAAGCTAGTGGAGGAGATAGTACTGATGAAAATGAGGAAGATGTAGCAGGAAAAGTCTCCCTTGATAAGTTAATTAAGTGTATTCTAACCTAACCACTCTGTAATCTAGCAAACTCACTAATTAGGCTCACTACAGGTCCTAGTGATGCTGAATTAGTGATGGCCAACCTGTATTGTGATTTTTCCATACCTGGACGTGTCCACCTACCCCAAAATATCAAGAGCCCTTAAGGTGTGGCAGGGTATTGACTTTTCTCTCCAGCATAAGTTAGACATGCCAGCGCCTAGATGACTTAACCCTTAACCCTTTCAGGGTCCGTCCCGTAGATCTACGGCTTTACGGTGAGTGTCCAAACCGTAGATCTACGCCATGAGCTCAGCTCACTCTGATAAACTGTGAGTGGTACATTTGGGCCTAGATATGAGAGAATACATCTATGTGGTATGTGTGCACCACATAAAACAGATCCTGCAGCACACTGTGTATAATGAGAGAAAAAAACTGAAATCATGATTTTTCGATTAAAACAGCAACTTTGCAGTGTTTTTTCGTATGTTTTTTATAGTTGTATTTGCGATTTCTTGGTCTCATTTGATAGAATGGAAGACATATTAAAGAAATAGAGATGATTTTGATTGGTTTTAGCACTGGAAATGGCTTGAAACTGAGCTCAAAGTAGCGGAAATGTTAAATTTTTGCCGATATTCAAGAGTAAACAAACGACCTCACACGTCTAATACACGTCAGCTGGTGGGTCTAATATACATTCACAAATATGGTGATGATATTTATACAATTATTACAGTATTGCATAACAGTAAATCTTCTATTTTTTGGTGTGAATAAAAATTCATTATGTGAATAAAAAATCAAAATGGAATTTATTTGTAAAGCCTCAAAACATAACTAATGAACAGAGGAAATGTTAGTTTAGTGCCAGGAATACCTACATTGTTTATTCTGGACCCTATTTTGAAATTGGAATATTTTGAACTTTGTGTTAAATTGGCCAAATTAACAATTTCCGATCACTTTATTTTGTAGTTGAAACAGTTGACTTGGCGATTTCTTGTGCTCAATCGATAGAATAGAAGTAATACTAGTGAAATAGCTAAGAATTTGGTCGACTGGAATAATGTAATTGGCCTAAAATGGGAGTCAAAGTCGGCAAAATCGCCGATTCGTAAATATCGCTGACACATCAAAATTCGCGAGAGCATAATTTCGTCAATTTTCCACCAAATTTCGTACTTTTTGTTTTATTACCTTCACAAAAAGATTCTCTACGATTTCATAAGAAAAAATAACAAATTTTTTTTTTTTAAATTCTTGGACACTGGTGCGTGACTCCAGATTTGGGCCTTGGACCCTGAAAGGGTTAAACGGTCCAAACAAATCGACGTTCAAATCCGTAGTGCTCCAAAAGTAGATCTATGTTTTTTTTTTTACATATTTTCACATGTAAAACAAAAAGAAGATCTACATTTTTTACATCCAAATGTTGAAAAAACGTATATATACGTTTGGACCATTTAAGGGTTAACCCTTTGAGGGTCCAGATATGAAAGTTCCTCATAAGGTCCAAGAATTTAAAAAAAAAAATTATTATTTTTCTTATGAAATGGTAGAGAATCTTTTTCTGAATGTAATAAAACAAGTAGTATGAATTTGATCAAAAATCGATGAAATTATGCTTGCGAATTTTGCTGTGTCAGTGATATTTATGCATTGGCGATTTTGCCCACTCGGAGTCCTATTTTCGACCAATTACATTGTTCCATTACACCAAATTCTTAGCTATTTCACTAGTATGTGTTCCATTTTATCTATTGAGCACAAGAAATCACCCAGTCAGCTATTAAAACTACCTAATAAAGTGATCAGAAATTGGTAATTTGGCCAATTTCACACAAAGCTCAAAATATTCCAGTTTCAAAATAGGGTCCAGAATAAACAGAGATAAATGGAGAATATGATAGCAGATGAACAAGGAGGCTTTAGGAAAGGTAGGGGGTGTGTGGACCAGGTGTTTACAGTGAAACATATAAGTGAACAGTATTTAGATAAGGCTAAAGAGGTCTTTGTGGCATTTATGGATTTGGAAAAGGCGTATGACAGGGTGGATAGTGGGGCAATGTGGCAGATGTTGCAGGTGTATGATGTAGGGGGTAGGTTACTGAAAGCAGTGAAGAGTTTTTACGAGGATAGTGAGGCTCAAGTTAGAGTATGTAGGAGAGAGGGAAATTATTTCCCAGTAAAAGTAGGCCTTAGACAAGGATGTGTGATGTCACCATGGTTGTTTAATGTATTTATAGATGGGGTTGTAAGAGAAGTAAATGTGAGGGGTCTTGGCAAGAGGCGTGGAGTTAAAAGATAAAGAATCACACATAAAGTGGGAGTTGTCACAGTTGCTCTTTGCTGATGACACTGTGCTCTTGGGAGATTCTGAAGAGAAGTTGCAGAGATTGGTTGATGAATTTGGTAGGGTGTGCAAAAGAAGAAAATTAAAAGTGAATACAGGAAAGAGTAAGGTTATGAGGATAACAAAAAGTTTAGGTGATGAAAGATTGGATATCAGATTGGAGGGAGAGAGTATGGAGGAGGTGAATGTATTCAGATATTTGGGAGTGGACGTGTCAACAGATGGATCTATGAAAGATGAGGTGAATCATAGAATTGATGAGGGGAAAAGGGTGAGCAGTGCACTTATGAGTCTGTGGAGACAAAGAACTTTGTCCTTGGAGGCAAAGAGGGGAATGTATGAGAGTATAGTTTTACCAACGCTCTTATTTGGGTGTGAAGCATGGGTGATGAATGTTGCAGTGAGGAGAAGGCTGAAGGCAGTGGAGATGTCATGTCTGAGGGCAATGTGTGGTGTGAATATAATGCAGAGAATTCGTAGTTTGGAAGTTAGGAGGAGGTGCGGGATTACCAAAACTGTTGTCCAGAGGGCTGAGGTGGTTTGGACATGTAGAGAGAATGGAGCGAAACAGAATGACTTCAAGAGTGTATCAGTCTGTAGTGGAAGGAAGGCGGGGTAGGGGTCGGCCTAGGAAAGGTTGGAGGGAGGGGGTAAAGGAGGTTTTGTGTGCGAGGGGCTTGGACTTCCAGCAGGCATGGGTGAGCGTGTTTGATAGGAATGAATGGAGATAAATGGTTTTTAATACTTGACGTGCTGTTGGAGTGTGAGCAAAGTAACATTTATGAAGGGATTCAGGGAAACCGGCAGGCCGGACTTGAGTCCTGGAGATGGGAAGTACAGTGCCTGCACTCTGAAGGAGGGGTGTTAATGTTGCAGTTTAAAAACTGTAGTGTAAAGCACCCTTCTGGCAAGACAGTGATGGAGTGAATGATGGTAAAAGTTTTTCTTTTTTGGGCCACCCTGCCTTGGTGGGAATCGGCCAGTGTGATAATAATAAAAAAAAAAAAAATAAACAGTGCAGACATTCCTGGCACTAAAATAACATTTTCTTTGTTTATTAGTTACATTTCCAGGTTTTACAGATGAATTCCATTTTTATTTTTTCTTCACATAAAGAATTTTTATTCACACCAAAAAATAGAAGATTTACTCTTATGCAGTATTGTAATAATTGTATAAATAATATCAGTGCATTCATAAACGCACATAAGACCCACCAGCTGATGTGTATTCGATGCATGATGTGATTTGTTCACCCTTGAACATCGGCAAAAATCAAATATTTCCGCTTTGAGCTAAGTTTTTAGCTATTTTCAGTACTAAAATCTATTTAAGTAATATGTATATCAAATGAAACCATACAAAAACACTGCAAAGTCACTGTTTTAATCCAAAAACAATCAAAGTTTTTTTCTCATCATGCACTGCGTGCTGCAGGATTTATTTTATATGGTGCACACTTACCACATAGATGCATTCTCTCATATCTAGGCCCAAATTTACTGCTCACAGCTTATCCGAGTGAGCTGAGCTCGTGACATAGTAGTACTACGGCACTGACCCTGGCTTCAGAGCCATAGAACTGTGGCACAGACCCTCAGAAGGTTAATGAGGGGATCAAGGGGAAGGACAATCCTACGAAATATGAGTTTAACTGAGCAACACAAACACATTTCAATGTTATTTTTTTATATTAACACATCAACCGTTTCGCACCAAGGCAGGGTGGCCCGAAAAAGAAAAACTTTCATCATCATTCACTCCATCAGTGTCTTGCCAGAGACACACTTACACTACATTTATAAAACTGCAACATTAGCACCTCTCCTTCAGAGTGCAGGTACTGTACTTCCCATCTCTGGCCTGCTGGTTTCCCTAAATCACTTCATAAATA